GGGAATCAATAATTAGCATGCTTCTTTGCATCAATTTGTAGAACTATCCCAGATTAACGAAAAGGAGATAAAAATGTCGAAGAAGAGGATATCGGTTGTGACTAAGCCCCTTATACAACACTTAATTGAGTAAATTCTGATTATCTTTAAGGTAATAACTTGCTACTGCAAATAATACACGATCTAAATCTTCGAAACGATATAAAACTTGGATGATAGACAGTGTCCGAACACGATGTCTTATCCATTGCGTTGCGCCAAGCCAAAATGGTTGTTATTCATTAACAATGAGATGAATTTCATGGTAACGAAACCATTCCGAATGGTAGAAACGGGTCCATTAACTATAGTAATATTTGAATACTTATATCATTTTGTCATTAACATGTCCTGCAGATTTCATTTCTAGCTATAGGCAACAACAAAAAGAGGTAGTAACTGGCATTTATGGAAGTCTACATCGACTATTTTCGAGATCTGTGTAACATCAGTGCAAAAAAAAAACAGCGGAAGTTCGAACAGTTCATGACTTCACACACCACTGATGAATGTCTTCTACATCCCTATTTCTTCATTCCAGCAAATTCTAGACCCACACGCTTTTGCAAATCTGTCATTTGATATAATCTGGATTGTTTTTCAACCACAACGCACTGTAATCTTTGAGAGCATTGCAGTTCTCGAGTCCGATGTTGACTGTCTGCCAAAAGAACAGCGGATTACCGTTTGTTCAAGGCCTGTGCATAATAAAACCGATGTCAACTTCATTTCTTCATCTTCAAAATACAATAGTCCAGAAAGCTCTACAAAAGCGCGTAGAACTGTAGGACCCAAGTGCTTAATTTATTGTAGCTGCGTCAAATACGAAAGTCACGTACGTTTCGACTGTTGCGTCGGTGTCACCGGAATAACGAGGGCGGTGTTATTTGACGATTGCCCGACCATCATAGCTTCCAGCTCTCGAACTCGTTGCTCCAACTGTGACACCCGTGATTCTTTCGGAGAGGGGGGTGGACCGTCCACTAAAAATGCGGCTATTTCGACTATTGATCATTGGTTTCAAATGGATACATTTACTGCTTTTTGATTGAAAAGCAATGTTAGTTGGCACTGCTGTCGCAAAGTCGAAAACGTAGAACACAGAAACGTAATTCATTGAATTCGGGTTTGGCAGAATAAGCGAATTGAGTAAATTATGATTTAATAATTTTAACAGTTAAGCGCACTATACCACGCAAATTAATTATCGAATACTTCTTAAATTTTCTAAATCGTCAAGTTTAAAAGGACTGAATGATTGTTCGTCTTGTATCTCCTACGAGCTATTATTATAAGAAATATTGGAAAAGGCACGTTGATGCAGATGCAACAAAGAGATTCTTGAATAAATAAATAAGCATTTTTTGACGTTTGACTAGCTTCTCAAAAATCACTAAGCACAAGCAAAAGGATCTCATTTATGCTAGGAAAAAAGCTTATCACTAAGTCAAATCTAGTACAAAACTGTAGCTGCGATGTAAAATATCTGCCTTAATAATTAACAAAAAGGTCCACTTATGAGTTTCGCCTCCAGGCTTCAATCGCAAAACATAAGAAGCAGTGACACAAAAACATGA